GTCGCCTTTTCTCTGTTTTTGAGCTATTTGATTGGCTATCCAAATCATAGGGAAATCTTTCCTACGTGTTCATTCAAGACGCTGTAAAATTGCTTCCGGTTGTTTTCCGCCGATTTCAATGGTGAAACAAAGACAAAAACTTCCGGATGGACATATTTGATACCGACAAAATCGAAGTTGTATGAAGATTTTTCCTACTATTTGTTCAATTTCTCCATACAATTCCTACGTATTTCACCTTATGTCTAATCATGGACAGGCATTGAGTCTGAATCAATCAGATATCACGAAAGTCGCTCAAGCATATTTATCCAATCATGGACTAAGAAGCAATTTTGAATCTGGTCTTGTGTGTGAAATCTACTATTCCCACTGCAAATTTAATAATGGTACAACGCTTGCGAGTTTTTTCCCGGTTCACTGTAGCCGTGCACACGCCGCGACTTCAGGCTGTGGCGTAGCTTTTGGGGCACACGAGGAAGGTTATCGGCGTTGTGAGCGCACTGGTGCAACTCAGCACCTCTCGTGCAGGGATGCGACATGTGGTACTCATGCAGGTTACGCTTTTGCACAATGTCATCCTTGTCGACTGTGACGGCATATTGATTGCTGTTTTTCGACTCAACTGGTGTTGCAAAATTTACTTTCAAAATTTGAAAGTTCCTCTTGGTAGTTATTTTGCATCCTTCACTGATGCATAGAATTTGAGAGGACATAGAAATGGTGGGTTCACTATTCCGGGAACTCAAAGGGAAGTGAGTCCACTTTGACGGGTACCTAAAAATTGTTGACTGACTCGTTCAAGAGTCCTGCTAAGCCTCGCCCATCAAATCATGTCGAGCTTTGGCCTACACGAGATGTTCAGCCAAAAATCGGATTGCTATGTTTAGGCGCACTATGGAAGCCTGAGAGGGCAAGCCATACGAAACCAGTACTCGTTCATATACGTTCTGTTACCGACTCCGGCACGGTAGCTTGTCACATGGAAAACATAACCATTCCGAAATATTAGGAGTTTTCATAGTATTTAGCATTTACCGCAGAATCGTCGTGGTAGTGGCAGGGTATGAATTGATCTCGTTTCTACCAATCATCGTGGAAATGGCACTTCAAGTCAACTTGAATATATATACTATCGATTCTCGTTGAGGGCAATTTTATTGCCAATACAGAATGATTGCCAGTGCCACTGTGGAAATATATCCGTCGCTGTAGTGATGGGTTTGGCGTCGATGCATCGGGACTTGCAATTTTAACAATTCCAAAAGGAGCCTATAGATGTTGAAAATGTCCACTCAAACAGGACTCACAATCCTTAATTGAATTTATACTGGATTAAAATAGGAGGAATATGAAGGGTAAAACGTTCAAACATATCATTCATAGAGGTTTTCCATTTTTGAACAGGAAATGAATCGTGGAGAAGGAGGGTCCTTCATCATACGTTCTATGTCTCCGATGTAATTCGAGGTTATGAAGCTCACGCTTAATGCCTCTGAATTCTAATGTACTTTCCCACCATAAAATTATGAAGGATTTAGTTGCTGGAGTTAGTTGTATATCATCCAATCACAAGATTCTTACAATTCTATTTGGTGATGGAGCTCGGCTGATCACTGAGAGCCTACTTTAGAGTCATTGTAAGGTGACGAATATGCACCACTAACTTGCAGCCCATTCGGATACCTCCATCACGACTTTTTGTCACAGCACATTTTACCTACCAGTTTTAGTAGCCCACGGTGTCGGACAACGACAAAACGACAAAAACGCACAGGCAATAATACTAGTACTGTACGTAAGACAAGTGCATTAGTCTTTCGGACAAACATGCACTATCCGGTTAAACCGCCAATATCTAATATATACGTTGTGAGAACAGTCGACATGAGACATGACAAGTGCAATGGTTGGAGCCAAAAAAGGGCTTCATCGATGAAGCGTATTCTGGAAGGGTATTTCCAGATATGTCGAAGCTGTCGTGAAGCCACGGAAACTCAATCAAACAACAACTAGGATGAGTTCGTTTAGATACATCTCGTGCACATCCTTCACCCGGTTGATATTTCCTAGGAGTTCGAGTGGAGTATGTGATACTACAGTACTGACACCGTGGTGTCGTGCGTGGAACGTTCGGGGAAAAGGACCGTGCAACGCATAAGGCGTGGCTTCTACGTCCAGCTTATACCGAATTACTTGAAAATTGTATACTAGGGGAGTATCCTGCAGGTACCGCAGCTCCCCTTGGAGCCATACAGAATTCAAGTGTCGGGCCCGTCGTTGTCAATAAAGACCGTTTTTTCACTATCCCACAGAGATATTTTGCACATGAAATTTCGTTTATTTATGGCTTGCCATCACGTTAAATATTAAAACGCATCGCCGAAGTCCGACCACTGTGCTGAAACTTGGGAGGGTGGTAGGTCAATCTCCCATCGTCATATTCGAAATCGCACGTAGCATGAGACCCACCGCTGCGATGGTCGCTGCGAGCGTCGTAGCTGTGTCGATCCAGGCTCTCCCATCCTGCTCGAAGTCTACCCTCGATGGCATCAAATCCACTTTCTATGAACTGCCAACTGACATCACATCTGCGTGCGACGCCACCACACCCGGGTTCAAGCTCATCGACTATTTCACGACTCGAGGCAGCCCAAGCCCTTCCGATGCTCAAGTCGAAAACTTCACCAAGGCTGAAGCTTGCAAGGTAGTATTCTACGACTTGACGCAGATCATCGGACGAGCAGAAGCATGCGAGTACTACCCGGGTGAACCCTTGGCACGGCAAGCAGGCTTTCCATCGTTAAAAGAACTCACGGCATATCGCACCGAACACGACAAGGCATCGTCTACCACTGCCGTGCCTGATGTGCCATCGACAGCATGCACTCAAGCATCGTTTGATCGAATTAAAGCGACATATTACGAACTCCCGCAAGACGTGGTCAAGGCGTGTGCCGCCGCCACTCCTGGGTTCTCCCTCATCGACTACTTTACAACCAAAGGCTCCATCGTCTCGGACGCACAAATTGAGTTGTTCTCCAAGGCCGAAGCATGCAAGGTCGTGTACTACGACTTGGTCCAAATCATCGGGTCTTCGAATTCAGGATGCGACTTCTACCCTGGCCAGCCTCTCGCCAAACAAGCGAGCTTCCCATCCCTGGCCGAACTCGTGGCCTACCGCCGCATTCAAGACAGTTCGGCTGCAGTGCCGCAATCGACGCTGATTGCGCCTCAACAAACTATTGTCCCGTGCGACGTCAGCCAGATCGATTCAGTTATGTCGACCATTAAGGCACTGCCCGTCTACGCCCCATGCTCCAACGCGTCCGGGTTTGACTTTGTCGAGACATTTCGTCGAACCAAAGTGTACCCGAGTGTGGAGCAACTTCAGAGATTTGCCACGACGCCGGCGTGCCAAATTCTGTACGCCGATGTCCAGCGAATTCTGAGCAACGCGCCCGTATGTGTCTTTTACGACAAGACTGGGGTCACCCTCGCCGAACTCGCCAAGTTTACGACGTTGGACACGCTTGTGTCGTTCCAGATGAAGCAAGAGGGATTCGTGCCAACGCATGCCCCGTCGGCGTTGACTTCGGCCGAACAGACCTCGTCGAGTTCGCCCAAAACGCTGCAGTCGATCTTGATTGTTGCTGGAATCGCTGCTGGCCTTGGCGTCATTTTCGTCACGATCATGTATTTGCGCCGAAAATGGGCCAAAGCGTCCGCGAAGGCATTGGACGGAGACGTCACCACCACCGCCGGCAGCGCAACCAACCAGTCGATTTTTGTCGTGAACGCCAATTCTGCGCTCTAAGTCGATTCACAGCAATCGGCAATCTTCTTTTAAATATATTACGCTAAAACGATTTCCCTCTCGGTATTCCACTCACGTTTTGGGCCAATGGGAAATTCACGTTGGCGACTGGAATACTGGTCGAGTTTTTTGCTAAAACGATTTCCCTCTCGGTATTCCACTCACGTTTTGGGCCAATGGGAAATTCACGTTGGCGACTGGAATACTGGTCGAGTTATGTACAGTGATCCCGCAACGTTTGCACCAGGTTATAAATTTATACCCCGTGAAAAATAATTGATAAAAAGTTCTTGGGGGCCTTTTGACAAGGCAGCAACGGCCCTCCTACAGTTGTTATCCTGGAAACGTTTATATTTGGAATAATGTGCAAACGTAGCGGGATCACTGTATCTAAATATTAAAGGATGCAATCACATCCAGCAATATCGAAGAATTTGATATATGGAAAAGTGCGCTCGGTCAACCTCCACATGAGTCAACGCATCGACCAACACGACTGTGAATGTGAAATGCTCCATGAGGTCTTGCACGAGGTTCTTTATTGTTGCATGAAGCTCTCTCGGCTTGCGCCGCGCGCCGTCCATGGCAACGTGGTGAGTGTATTTGGGAAGGAATCGTTCATGTGAATTACAATGGAAACTCTTATCTAAGAATAGTAATATACAACCCAAACACTGCAGAACAACTATGATCAATTCGAGACCCACAACGACAGCTTCTATCTCGACGGAGCGCGGGTGGGCCGAGGAGATATATTGGCTTTGGGGAAGCGCCGAAGCAAACATCGTTTGGTCCAGGCCTCAATAGTCTGTTCGTATCGATTTTTGGTTCTGCAAGTTTTTCAAATCTACTCGATGCATTGAATGTTCCACCATGATTGGACAAAAACCGCTCAAATTCTCGAAGTACTAAATGATTTCATCCAATGGTATTCGAGGCAAATATTTCGACAAGGCATTTTTAACGCCCGAGCGAATATCCCCCATTGTCCGACAATGCTCGATGGAGGCAGAAATCCTAGCAGAATTTTTTCGTCCGAACGTGCCCCGTTCGCGTGCGGAGGCAAATGGATTGCTGAATTCTTCTTTGGGTTCACGGGCATGTCGTGATTGTGGCGGCACAGCATCCTCCTTCCACTAGTCTAGGCGCAATTTGGTGTTGAAGTGATTGCGCTATTATCGACTTCAGCTTAAACATTGCTCTGGATTTGTTGGTGAGGTCTGGATCGACCTCGAAGATGGTCGATCGTACGGTCATCACGTTCCTGGTGACGCATCAACATGCACGAGCGGAGCGATCAGTTTTAACAGATTCGCAGAAGGCTGTGTGCGAACAAGTTAACGGAAAGTTGAATGAAATATATTGAAGTACGAATGGAGTTATGCAATATCTAGTTGGCGAGGCGAAGCGCCTCCACCAGTGCAGTGACGTGTTGGTCGAACGTGTCGATGACAACACGGCATTGCGCAGGAGACACCTTGGCAGGGTCTTCGTTGCCAGTGACCTTGAATGTGTCGCCTTCCGGCTCAATGGCGACGACGAAGGTGTGAGCAAACGTCATGTCGGGTGAGAGCTCGACGCCAACCATCTCTAGTAGCTGTCGTTGGTTGCGAATCATATTGAACTCGAGCTTGTCGTCGTTGCTGACAGCGTCGCTTGGCCGCGGGAAGTTGGAGAAGACAAATCGGGTGTCGCACACGTTGACCGGATGGCTGCACCATTGTCGAACTTGGTCTTCGCTCGCGTGGGAGTGCAGCGTCAACTCAGCTTCGTCAGTGTGCAAGTTGCGGAGAACTTGATGCAGTGGCGCACTCTCGAGTACGTGTACGCAGCATGGCGCTTCGCTGAGCAATGGTCCCATGATTCTACACAGCATCAAGTCAGTTCATGTCAAGGTTTCATAGGTAAAGGTTGACTTGTGCATACCGGTCGACATTCTTCACAGGCAAGCTTCGGTTCGCCATCGTTTGAGCAAATACAATCGTGTCACGACCGGTAAACTGCTTCCATGTCAACGCCCACGCGTACCGAAGTATAATGTACACAGGGACATCCACCACCTTGGCGACGGCGTTGAGGTCGTACCGCGATACTTGCAGCGGTCTCGAGCAAGGAAGTTCCAAGGTCGCAGTTGTGACCGAGTCCGCCAAGTCCAGGACGAAAGGTGCATCGTTAGGAAATGGGGCGGTGGCAAGATATCGGCGCCAAAAGGCAGCGGCTGTATCTGCGTCTGCCTCAATGTAGTCGATGGCAGACCGAAAACTCGGGCGCGAAGGCAATGCTTCATTGGCAAGCGCCGACCAGAAATCGGAGGTCGTCATACCAAAAGACCAGGCATCGTACAGAGCATGATGGATGGTCAAAACGGCATGGCACGAGCCGTTGACGATAACAATGGCAAGTCGAACAAAGTGTTTTTCACCGACCTGGAAGCCTCGCTTGAGATCGCGAGCCAGAAACTCATCCAACGACGTCGACGACGAATCAACATGAATATCGATGTCGCTCGTGTCGGGACGAATGAGTTGGTAATACTTGGACTTGTGCTCGACAAACGTTGTCCGGAGGAGTTCGTTGCGGTCGACCACAGTCCTGAATGCGCGGCACACGTCTTCGCATGCCATGTCGGAAGGAAGCATGAACATTGATTGCATCGCAAATGTATACGGCATCGAGTGGGAGATTTTGAGGAACTCCGCTTGCAGATGCGTCACGGGATACACAACGACGTCGGTGCCACTAAAGTTGAGCTTCTCGCTCCATTCGGCAACGATGGCAGCAATAATCGATCGATCCACCGACACGACAGGCACGTCGACGACGGACTCAAGAGTCGCAGCGGCCGCCACACGCCAAAGCAATGCCTCCTTTACTACTTGACCAACGCTCAATACGATACCCAGCTCTCGGCACGCGCCAACGACCTTCACCACAGATATCGAGTCACCGCCCAGAGCGAAGAACGACGACGTTCGACCGATGTCGGCGAAGGGGACCCCCAACACGTCGGACCACACCTGTGCCAGTTGAATTTCTTCCGCCGTCTCCAGCGGCTCAATGGTAACGTCCACGTCCAGCGCTTGCAGTGCTCTCCGGTTGATCTTGCCGTTGGTGTTGAGAGGCAAGTTGTCCATGCCGATCCAGACCGCCGGGACCATGTACACTGGCAATTGACTTGCCACGAATTCGCGCAGTTCACCCACGTTGACATCGGCTGGCGAAAAATATCCGACTAAGTGGGTCTTGTCCTTCACCAGCGCCGCCGCTGCAATCACGCTACCGTGGCGCATCATCGCCTCGCCCACTTCGTCCAACTCGACGCGGTAGCCCTTCAACTTGACCTGACTGTCTTTGCGGCCCAGTATCTCAAACTTGCCGCTCGGGAGCAGGCGCGCGCAATCGCCCGTGCGGAACATGCGGCCGCCCGTGAACGGATCCACCAAGAAGCGCTCGGCCGTTTGCTCGGGCAAGTTGACGTAGCATGGCGACACGCAGACACCTCCCAAGTACAACTCACCCACGACGCCCACTGGGACCACACGCTGACTGTCATCCAAGACATACGACACAACGTTCGGGATTGGACTGCCGATGGTGATGGCGCTCGACGGGGCAATGACCTCAACGTGCGTGATCATACTGCCCTCACTCGGGCCGTACACGTTGGCTAAGCGAACGTGCTCAGCCCAAGTGTCACGCAAATGAGGTGGCATGGCTTCACCGCCGACACAAACGCACTTGAGATTCGGGTAGTTGGACGGGTCACCCATCAACGACAGACCTGTCACAGTCTGCGCCACCATGTCCACGTTCTTCAAATCGCTGTCGAGCTCGCTTGTCCGTAGCACCAGCGTCGATGCGCTAGAGAAGGCCATCCACGTTTCCCACTGGCACCCGTCGAAACCAATGGCCAGGAATTGAAGGATTCGTGCACCACGCATTTCCAACCTGGACGAGCACTGGATTGCTGCGTTCAGCGCACTCTTGTGCAGGACTGGCACGCCTTTGGGTTGTCCCGTGGATCCAGACGTGTACACAATGAACGCCGCGTTGTCTCCGGACGGAAGTTGGGCAGGAGTGAATTCGGATTCTCGACTTGCCAGCTCACTCGTATCGATGTACATGACAGGAATGTCCAGACGCATCTCTTGGATGCGGCCGCGATGAGCTTCCGTTGTCACCACAGCCACAGTGCCAGCATCGTGCAGGGCGTAGGCCAAGCGCGCGGCAGGAAACGACGCATCCTGAGGCATCATCGTCCCGCCGGCCTTGAGTACTGCCATCAGCCCGATCGGGAACTCCAGGCAGCGATCCATGATTACCGCCACGCAAGATCCCACCGCCACGCCTACCTCCACCAGCTCACTCGCGACAGCGTTTGCTTGTGCGTTCAGTTGTCCATACGATAGAACGGAGCCTTCGAATTCGACGGCGGGAAGGTCGGGCTGCAATTTCGCCGTGGTTTCAAAGGGCTCGTGCAGCAGAGTGAATTCAACCGGCGACACCAGTCCCTGGGACGCCAACAAGACGGCGTCTTCTCTCGCCGGACTGAGGTCCCATAATGCGGACACGTGTCCGGCTCTGTCCCACTCGCGGTGCAGCTGCGTCAAGGTATAGTCGAATTCGTCCAGAAGAGAACGAGCTTGCGACCAGGACATGCGCAGCGGGTCGTAAAGGCCGTTGACAGTCATCGTCGTAGACGAGGGTTCGACACCGAGTTCGAACACGTGATGCGACGTAGTCTGCGGCGGCAGGGCATCCTCCGAGCTCTCCGGTAAGTCGGCGTCCACGTCCGGCAAGTTTTGGAACACGAACAGAGTATCATAGAGGTCACCGTCAGCCCCGCTCCATCGTTTCACGTCCACCAAGCTGGCATGGGCGTTGGCAGACAAAGTCCCTTGCTGATTTTGTACAGCGGACACCAACTCTTGCAGTGTCTGACTGTCGTCAAACTGCACACGGCAAGGCACCGTGCTAAGGAGTGGACCGATGATCCTAGCCACACAGTATTGTTAGCCTCGTGATCAAGTCCATCGTCGTACCTGTCCACTCCCATCACCGGCATGTCACGGTTAGCCATGACTTGGCCAAGCACAATGTCGTTTGATCGGGTGAACTTGCGGAGCGTGGCCGCCCATGCGAGCTTGGTGAACACTGCCAGGGTCGTCCCCATGCGCTTGGCTGCGTCCGTCATCGACTGCAGAGGCAACGTCGGCGTGAGCGACAGCGAGCCTCTCTCAACGGTGGACGTCGCGGTTGTCAACGTAAGTGGCGAGGGCACCACTCCGGACAAGTATGACCGCCAAAAGGCTTCCATCTTCGACTTGTCTTGCGCTTCGATGTAGTCGACAACAGTCCGGAAGGGCGCGCGGGGTACCAACGGTTTGCCATGGACGAGGTCCATCAAGTCTGACACAATCATACCGGTCGACCATCCGTCGTACAACGCGTGATGAATGGTCAAGACGGCATGTCTCGCACATGGCTCCGACACCACGGCCAGCCGGACAAAGAACTTGTCACCGAGCTCGAACCCTCGGGTCATGTCCTCCGAAAGGTACTCCTCCAAGTGGTCCACAGCAACGCTTGCCGTTTCCACTCCCACCGCATCTTCTCGGATGATTTGAGTCAGTCCTGTCGTCGTCGTCACAAAAGTTGTCCGAAGCATTTCGTGCTGCTCAACCAAGCGCTCGAACGACTCCAACACAGTCGACGGCTCGACAGCAGAGTCGATTGGAATGGGCAATTGCATCACATACGCTGTGGGGTCGCTCAACGTCGCATACAGCATGCCGCCTTGAAGTGGAGTCACAGGGTAGACGGAAAAGTCGTCAAGGTTCAGCGTGTCCGACCAAAACATTTTGACCTCCTCCGCGATCGACGTGTCCAACTGACTCGATGGCCACACTGTGGTGACCGCATCGCTCGACACTTGTGCCACTCGGTGCAGCACTGCTTCGGTCATCAGCTTCGCGACAGTCAGTGTCAACCCTAGCTTTGCGCATTCGGCAACAACTTTGATGGACGAGATAGAATCCCCGCCCAGAGCGAAGAACGACGACGTTCGACCGATGTCGGCGAAGGGGACCCCCAACACGTCGGACCACACCTGTGCCAGTTGAATTTCTTCCGCCGTCTCCAGCGGCTCAATGGTAACGTCCACGTCCAGCGCTTGCAGCGCTCTCCGGTCGATCTTGCCGTTGACGCTCTGAGGCAGCGAGTCCAATCCTACCCACATGTCTGGTACCATGTATGACGGAAGTTGTGCGGCCACGACTTGGTGTAATTCGACTGGATCAACTTGTTTGGGTGCGTAATATCCAACGAGATTCGTCTTGTCCTTGAGAATTGCCGCCGCTGTAACAACGTCTGGGTGCTGCATCATTGCTTCCGCGACTTCGTCCAACTCGACGCGGTAGCCTTTCACCTTGACTTGTGTGTCCAAGCGACCAAGGATTTGAATGTTGCCGTTTGGCAACATTCTCGCCGAGTCGCCAGTGCGAAATAAACGTTGATCACTTCCCACCGAGAATGGATCCAACAAAAAGCGCTCGGCGGTTTGATCAGGCAAATTGATGTACCCATTCGATACACAGATGCCACCAAGGTACAATTCCCCAACAACGCCGATGGGGACCAAACGCTGTTGGTCATCGAGGACGTATGACGTGACATTGTCAATCGGTTTGCCAATGCTGATGGGTGTGTCGACACTCAAGACCTCGTAGTGCGTCGTGATCGAGCACTCGGATGGACCATAACAATTGAGCAAACGAACACGAGGGCTCCAGAGGTCCTTTAGTGAGGAGGGCATGGATTCCCCACCGGTGGCAATGCACTTGAGGTTGGGGTAGTTGCTCGGGTCGCCCGATTGAAGCAGTGCCGTGACAGTGCACATCCATGTATCTATCGTGGAAAGGGTTGCGTAGGGGTCGTCCCCGCGTAATACCAACGTGGCACCGTGCGACAAAGCCATCCAGATCTCCCATTGGCAAACATCAAACCCGACCGACATGAATTGGAGGACGCGCTGTCCTTGTTCAACCGGAACCATGGAATTCCGTTGAATCACGGCGTTTACAGCACCCTTGTGCAGCACGGGGACACCTTTTGGCGTTCCAGTTGATCCAGACGTGTAAACAACGTAAACTTCGTCGTTTTCAGTCGCGAGCTGGTTGTCCTTGGGCTCAAATTCACACTCAGACAGATCGTCTGACTGGATAAAGAGGACGGGAATATTCAGCTGCATTTCTTCGATGCGGGAGGCATGCGCTCTGGTGGTAACAACGGCGGATGCGTTGGCGTCCAAGAGAACGAAAGCCAATCGATTCGCAGGAAACGTAGCATCCAACGGCATCATTGTCCCTCCTGCTTTGAGCACTGATAGCAGACCAATCGTGAACTCCAAGCACCGTTCCATGATCACGGCCACACGCGATCCGACGTGGACGTTCATGTTCGTGAGTTGTTTCGCTACAGCGTTGGCCTTGAAATTCAGTTCGCTATACGTGAAAACTTCATTCGAAAATTCGATGGCTGGTACATCGGGATGGGACACAGCTCGTGATTCAAACGCGTGCTGCAGTAACGTGTACGGCAACGGCGATGTCGCCGCACATGACGCCTCCAAAATCGTTTGCTGCATTGTTGGGGCCAAAGTCCACAAAGTCGAAATTTCCAATGACCTTTCCCAAGTCGAGTACAATTCCGTGAGTGTGAAATCGAATTCGTCAAGGAGGATACGTGCTTGAGACCAAGACATGCGCGTAGGGTCAAACATCGTTTGAATGGACAAACCAGTCGATGTGGGCCCCACGAGCACCTCGTACGCAAAAGCCAGCGACAAGGTAGATGGTTCGGCATCGTGTTTCGCGCTGTCCATTGACCCGGAGCCTTCGGCAAAATTCTGGAAGACAAACAACGTGTCAAACAGGTCGCCATCTGTGCCAGTCCATCGTTTCACGTCAGCTAGGCCGACATGAGAATGCAATGAAATGTTGCGCTGTTCACGTTGGACGGTCGCAATCAACTCTGGCACCAAGGAAGCGTCATTGAAGCGCACACGGCAGGGCACCGTGTTCAAAAGAGGACCAATGATTCTACAATGCAACATAGGTGAACAATGAGCTCAACATGAACATGGTCGTACATGTTGGCATCCTTCACAGGAATATCCCGATTCGCCATGACTTGGCCAAACACAACATCGTCGGAGCGAATGAATTTACGCAAGGCCGCTGCCCAAGCAACTTTGACAAATGTGGCGAGTGTTGTGCCCATTACTTTGGCCGCACGGTGAAGAGAGTCCAAGGGCAACGTCGCGGTCAGGCAAAGTGATCCTGTTTCAATACCATTTGAAGCCGTACTCAAGACGAGTGGCGACGGCTCAAATCCTGTCAAATATGTTTTCCAGAAGCTTTCCGTTGCTTGGGCATCTTGAGCTTCGATGTATTCGACCACACGACGAAATGGCGGTCGCACAATAGGATCCCTTCCGGACACAAGAGCCATCCAATCGGCCACGATCATGGGCAAAGACCACCCGTCGTACAATGCGTGATGGATTGTCATCAAAGCGTGCTGGTTCGTCGCATTCGACACAATCGTGAAACGAACAAAGTATTTGTCACCGATGGAGAACCCACGAGCAAGGTCACGTGCCATAATGTCGTCCAGATCGCCTACCACAGCAATCGGCACCAAATCGCTGACATCACTTCGAATGACTTGGACAATGCCACTCGTGGTCGTCAAAAATGTTGTGCGGAGAATTTCACATCGCTCAACGAGTTTGACAAATGCGTTACCCAAGGCGGCAGATGAGACGTTGGGGTCCACAGGCAGTGGGACTTGGATCACGTACGCAGAGGGGTCATTCAGGGTTGAGTACACCATGCTCCGTTGAAGCGGGGTGACCGGGTAGACAACATAAGCGTCCAAGTTGAGTAAATGTTTCCATGAGTCGTCAACTTCAACGCGCACAGCTTGAGGCACGACAACACGGGGATACGACTTGGTGTTGCCCGTGGTTGCAGTTGCAGCAACTCGGGACAGGACCGACTCGGTCAAAATTTGACGGACTGTTACAGACCATCCCAATTTGGTGCAGGCTGATGCCACCTTGATCGACGAGATTGAGTCACCTCCAATGGCGAAGAAGGACGTTTGTCGGCCAATTGTTGCCACGTCAACATCCAACACGTTAGCCCACACTTGAGCCAATGCCTTTTCCTCCTCAGTTTCCAGCGGTTCGACCTCACATACGATGTCCAACGATTTCAAGGCCAACATGTTCACCTTGCCATTGGAATTCTGGGGCATTTCATCCAATCCAACCCAGACGGACGGAATCATGTAAACAGGCAGGTGTTTCGACACGGTGCTCTTCAAGTCGACCAAATCAACACTCGCCGGAGAAAAGTACCCAACAAGATGTGTCTTGTCCTTGACCAAAGCGGCAGCAACTACGACGTCTGGATGCTGCATCATAGCTTCGGCGACTTCGTCCAACTCAATTCGGTATCCCTTGAGCTTCACTTGGCTGTCCTTGCGACCGACTACGTCAAACTTGCCATTCGGCAACACTCGAGCATAGTCACCCGTGCGAAACATGCGACCACCAGTGAATGGATCGTCCAGGAAGTGTTCGGCAGTTTGTTCAGGCAAACCGATGTAGCTTGGCGACACGCACACCCCGCCCAAGTACAATTCGCCAACGACACCAACAGGCACAAGTCGTGCGTTTTCGTCCATGATGTACGACGAGACATTCGGGAGTGGCCGACCGACTGTGACACCTTCATCCCGCGTCAACGTTTCAAAATGGGACACGATGCAGCATTCCGTTGGTCCATAAATGTTGACCAGGCGAACTTGGTTGCACCATAAGTTCTTCAACGTTGTTGGGATGGCTTCACCGCCAACATGGATAACTTTGAGGTGCGGGTACTGGCTTGGATCTCCCATCAAGGCTAAACCAGTCGGAGTCATTACCATAACATTCACATTCGTGAGAATGTCCACTTCGTTGGAACGCAACACCAGAATCGCTCCATTCGACAGCGTTGTCCAGATTTCCAACTGACAACCGTCAAATCCCATCGCCATAAACTGAGACACCCGAACTCCTTCCTTCAAGTCGGCGTAGCTGGAGCAACTCGATATCGTGTTCACAGCGCTCTTGTGCAAAACAGGTACACCCTTGGGCTTTCCTGTAGATCCAGAGGTGTACAGGACATACGCTTCGTCGTCAACACTAGCAATTTGATTTTCTGCTGGCAAAAATTCGGCAGGGTTCATTGCCAAATCGGTCGAGTCGATGTAAAGTACTGGCATCCCCAAGTCCATCTCTTCGATACGATGGCGACATGACTCTGTCGACACCACAGCGATAGCATTGCTGTTGTATACCATATACGAGAGTCGACCAGGTGGAAATGTCGCATCCATCGGCATCATGGTTCCACCTGCTTTCAGGACAGCCACAAGCCCAATGGGAAATTCCAGGCAACGCTCCATGATCACAGCGACCCGCGTCCCTGTGCAAACGCCAAGTTGAGTTAGTTGACGTGCCACAGTGTTTGCTTGGCTGTTCAGCTCGCTGTACGTGAGCCTGGAAGTATTGAATTCGATTGCTTGGCTTGTGGGTTGGCGGTTCGCCATGGCTTCAAATCCATGGTGCAGCAACGTATGCTGGACATCGATTCGTGGCCCAAAGTTTGACGCTTGAATAATTTTGGCTTCGTGTGATGTGAATCGGTCCAAGGAGCTGACAAGGCAATCTTGTTGACGCATGTCTGATATTTGCTCCACAACGTAGATGAGGCGATCCATCAATATGTCGATAATGGCTGCATCGACGTCAGCACTCTTCGAAATCAGCTTCACCATGTAGCCGTCGCCGTGGGCACCAACCACACAAGTCAACAAGGCATTGGCATACTCTTCCGCGTCTTGGAACTCGATGGAAAATGGCCGATCGGGATTTTCCGAATTTTCGCTTGCGGGATAGTTTTCATACACCATGATCGTATCAAAGAGTTGTTTTCCGGAAGCGTGACCGATCCACTTTTTGATGTCCGCAAGGCAGCAGTGCGAGTGCGGAATCGAATTGGCAGCGTACTCATGCATTTGTTTGATGGATTGTACAATGGTTTCCGTGGATGGCATGTACGCAAGAATCGGAATTGTGTTGATCGATACACCTGCCATCCTACAAGCACATTAGAACAGGGAGGATCTGAACAGGGAGGATGTTGGGAGATGCAATACGTACTGGGCAATACCGTCCAACTCCACTTCACGGCCTGACACAACCGACCCAAACACGACATATTCACTTCGGGTGTACTCTTGCAGTACAATAGCCCAAGCGGCGCGGAAGACACTGCTGGGTGTTGCACCAAGGCTGCGGGTTACGTGGGTCAAGCCCAAGCCTTCAACAACTCGAACGATCGATCGATACTTGGGAGCAGTCGATGCCTCGATGTGAGAACAGGGAAAGGTGAGTTGCTCCGCCAATTCAACATGTTTGAGCGTTTGCTTCCAAAACGCACAGCTGGCATCTTCCGATTGAGTACTCAGCCATTCAATGTAATGCTTGAACGGCGTCAATGGTTTTCGTAGAGGTTCGCCATAACACGTTGCCAGGAACCGATCCATCACCAACGGGAGCGACCAACCATCCGCTACCGCATGGTGTTGTGTCCAAAGAACACGCGTGCGGCCATCTACAAGAGCAACGGTTCATCTGGAGTACAAGGCAAAAAATGAAGCACCTGACGTGCTGACGCCTGTAAACCGTTGAAAGGACCTGGAAGTCAAGGAAAAACCTCGCGAACGGTCTTGCTGCATCAACGCTTTGGTGTTGGTCTCCAACTCGTCGATCGACCACACTGCTTCTAGCATCGTCCATTCGCTCAAGTCTTCTTTGGTCACAGCTTGGTACATTCCATACGGGGTCGACACAAACACAGTTCGAAGAATGGGGACTTCCAGTGCGAGTTTGTGCCAACAAGTTTGGAGGCTAGCCATGTCGAAATTCCCACGAATATCAAACACCATTTGCAAGACGTATTCGGAGGGGTCTTGAATCATCTCCAACAAAAAACCGCCTTGCAATCCCGTAATCGGATAAATGTCATCAACGTCCAGAGGTCGCAAGTGCAGCGTCTCCATCATTTCGCTCTCAACGCAGTGCAATACGTCTGCATCCACCAACAACGGCACGTCGGACAACGTTCGGCCCCCAATCGTCGATGGGTCCAAGCAATGTTCAACAATGCGCTCCATCCATTTTACCCACAGGCCAAAGAACTCGTCCAATTCAGCTTTGGACAACATCCAATCTTCGACGGATCCACCAAGCATCAGCTCTGAGCCCATGTGGTACAGCGTTAGGCTGCCTGGACTATAGTTGATTTCGCTTTCTTCTCTTTGTGGCACGCGGAGTCCGTCCACCATGGAAAACATGCCTGTGCCTGAACTCACTTCTTGAAACTTCCCCAAGTAATTGAACGAAAAGTTGTGTCGACGATGCGTTTTGATGAGTCTGTTTGTTTCTGTTTCGGGGGCGAGGTACTTGATCGCTCCGTAAGACAGCCCATTATCTGGAACCCCTCGAAGTTTTTCCTTGACTTGTCGGACAAGGTCTGCAAGATTCCACGACGGAGAAAACACGGCGGGATATTCGCATGTGAACCACCCAACGGTACTTGATACGTCCAAGTCCGAATTCCATCCGTCACGACCATGGCTTTCGAGCATGATGTGGAAGTTGCATGTACCATCCCCACGTAGTTCAGCAAATGCACCAGTCAATGCCGCCAGCGCAAGTTCTTGGATGTTTGTCATGTACGTAGCGTTTGCTTGATCAAGTCGAGACGACAACGCTGCACCAACGGACGTGGATGCGGACACAATCTTCTCGCTACGGGAAACGTTGTCAGAATCGTTCGAGTCAAATGAGCTGGTGTACCTTGTCCGAGTTGAATGCGGCACATCATCACCCATGTATCCGAGCCATGCAGTTGGATCGAACGACGGCGCTGCTTCAGTCAACCTGTCCGACCACTCCTTCATCGAAGTCGTCTTTGGTCCCAATGGTTCATTAAGTAAAGCCTTCTGCAAATCGTCGATCAAAATGCGGATGGACACCAGATCCACAATCGTGTGATGCAGTGTGAAGTGCAAGAACTGAGTGCGATCGGCCGTCTCAAACATACTCAGGAGGAATACGGGGCCGGTGATTAGATGCAACGTCTTCTCCACTGCGCAAATTGCCTCTTCCAATTCGTCAAACGACGTGATGGCATGCACGACAACTGGCGCAGGCGTCAACGCCGCAGGGTCCAAAATTTCTTGCGACCATCCACTGGTTGGGGAAAACGCAAACCGAGTTCGCAGGACGTCATGGTGTGCCAAAAGCTGCTTCAAGGCGCGCTCGACATCCGAGGAATTGGTTGCATCACGGGGCTGCAGCGTGAACGACATGTTCCAGTAATGAACGTTGATCCAAGGATGCTCGAAGTTCAGGTGCTGAATGGGCGTCAAAGGGACCTTGCCAAAGACCGATACATCCGACGACGACACATTTTTCACCATCTTTGCAAAACTCGCCATTTCCCAAAGCGTCGGGTATTTCATAACGTTCGTGCTGGACAACCCCAGTCCAATATCTCGTGCTTTCGAGACGAGACGAATTGCGGTAATGGAATCGCCGCCGAGTTCGAAAAACGACGTGTTGCGGCCAATTTTGGACAATTCAACACTCAACACGTCGGACCAAACCGACGACAATAGCTCCTCAGTCTTGGACTCGAGCGACTCCAATGTGACTTCAATGTCCATCAATTCCAGGGCCTTCTTGTCTATTTTGCCGTTCACGTTTTGGGGCATGTCATTCAATCCAACCCACAACGACGGCACCATGTACACTGGCAGCTGGTCCGACACAATTCGGTGCAGCTCTGCCGTGTCCACGTCGGCCGGTGAAAAGTACCCCACCAAGTGCGTCTTGTCCTTGACCAAAGCGGCAGCCGCAATCACGTTGGGGTGCTGCATGATAGCTTCGGCGACTTCGTCCAACTCGACGCGATACCCCTTGAGCTTCACTTGACTGTCCTTGCGGCCCAAAATTTCAAAGTTGCCGCTCGGCAACAAGCGAGCAAAGTCGCCAGTGCGAAACATTCGTTCCCCGGTAAACGGATCGTCCACAAAGCGTTCAGACGTTTGTTCGGGCAAATTGATGTAGCAAGGCGACACGCACACTCCACCCAAGTACAATTCACCGACGACGCCCACGGGCACCAAACGCTGATGTTCGTCCAGGACGTACGAGGTCACATTTGCGAGCGGTGCCCCAATCGTGACATCGTCACCAATCGACATCCGCTTCACGTGCGACAACATACAGCATTCCGTAGGTCCGTACGCGTTGACCAAACGGACACGGTCGGACCAAAGATCCTTCAACGACGTTGGCAGGGCTTCTCCACCCACTTGAACAAACGTGAGGTTTGGATATTCGCTCGGGTCTCCCATCAACGACAGGCCTGTGGGGATGGTGGCCAACACGTTGACATCCTTGAGGGTGTCCAAGGCTTCTTCGCTGCGCAATACCAACGTGGCGCCGCTGGACAACGTCGTCCAGATCTCCCACTGGCACACGTCAAATCCCACGGCCATGAACTGAATCACTCGGACGCCTTCCTCCATTTTGGCTTCGTCACGCCCAAAGGACACTGTGTTGACTGCGCTCTTGTGAAATACGGGTACACCCTTGGGTTTGCCGGTAGACCCCGACGTGTACACAACGTACGCTTCGTCATCGCCGGTGGCCACTTGGTTGGCAGCCGGACAAAACCCTTCGTCCGTATGCAATGCCAACTCGGCAGCATTGATGAAGATCACGGGCGTCGTCAAGTTCATTTCATCTATGCGGGCGCGGTGGGCCTCCGTCGTCACGACTGCAATTGCACCGGCGTCCGCCATCATGTACGAAAGGCGGCCAGCCGGAAACGAAGCGTCCATTGGCATCATGGTACCACCCGCCTTCAGGACGCCCAACAGACCGATGGGAAACTCCAGGCAACGCTCCATGATCACAGCCACTCGAGTGCCGACACGAACGCCCACCTCAGTCAGCAATCGCGCGACGGCATTGGCCTGCGCGTTGAGCTGTCCGTACGTAAGACTCATAGATTTGAACTCGACAGCTGGAATGGTCGGTTGGCGGAGTGCAATGTCTTCAAATGCTGCATGCAATCGACAGTGTGGAAGCGGAGTTGCAGGGCCCGTAGACGCCTTCATAATAGCTTCGAGCTTGCTCGGGCTGAGGAGCCACAAATGCGACGCGTCCTGCTTGGCCAAGCAGGCTTGATAGAACTGGCTCAGAGTAAAATCAAACTCGTCCACAATGGACCGTGCTTGGGACCATGACATTTGAGCTGGGTCGTACAAGCAAGTGACGAACATTTTCGCAGACGATGTCTCCACAATCAGCTCAAAGTCGAATCCCGTGGCCTTCTGAGACTCGATTTCGACCACGTCTTGTCCAGAACCGATACCCATGGATGCGTTCTGGAAGACGAACAGGGTGTTGAAAAGAGCTCCTTCAACGCCACTCCACTGCTTCACGTCCGACAAGCCCACGTGTGCATGCAACGACACCCTTCGTTGGTCTTGCTGCACCATGTCCACCAAGTCGAGCACCGAGCAACTGTTGTCGAACTGAACTCGGCATGGCACCGTATTGATGAGAGGACCGATAATCCTACAGATCGTCGTATTGTCAGAGACACATGTATGGGTGGGTATTCGTCAAGCGTGACGTACAAGTCAACATCTTTCAGGAGGATGTCGCGGTTCGCCGTCACTTGACCAAACACGACGTCGTTCGAGCGAGTAAACTTGCGCAACGTAGCTGCCCACGCCAGTTTGGCGCACACGGCTACCGTCGAGCCCATTTCCTTGGCCAAGTCCGTCAGCTGCCCCAACGGCAACGTCGGTGTCAAGGACAACGATCCGCTCTCAACATCCGACTTTGTCGTCGACAAGGCCAGCGGTGCCGACACGACGCCAGCCAAGTACGACTTCCAGAACTCTTCGTCCTGCGTCTTGTCTTGGGCATGAATGTAGTCGACGACATGGCGGAAGGGTGGCCTCGACACCACTGGCTTCCCGTACACCCGATCCATCAGGTCTGATAGAACAAGCTCAATCGACCACCCGTCGTACAAAGCGTGGTGGACTGACAACACGGCATGTCTCCGGGGTCCTTCCGTCACGATCGTCAGTCGAACGAAATGCTTGTCGCCAATGCAGAAGCCGCGCGCAAAGTCCGCCTGGATGAAAGTTCTCAGGTCGTCCACGGACACGCGCTCCGGAGTCAGACCATCCTCTCGAATGACTTGGACAATACCCTCCGTCGTCGTCACAAACGTTGTCCGGAGGGTCTCGGACGAGTCCACAAGGTCAACAAATCCGGAGCAAAACTGGTCCGTTGACACGTCGTCTTCGATCGCAATTGGCACTTGCAAGAGGTAACTGGATGGAGACATCATCGTGGAGTAGATCATGCCAGCTTGCAATGGCGTCGTCGGGTATACGATGTACTTGTCCAAGCTGAGCCGGTCGGACCACAGGTCGCGGACTTCATCCTCAGTTGCCTGTGACACGGCCACCGAGTCGTAGACAACATCGTCCGAGATAGCCACACATGCTGCCACCTTCGACAGCACTGACTCTTGCATGAGCTGCCGAACGGTGATCGGCAAGCCGATCTTCGCACAAGCAGACACCACTTGCACCGCTGACAACGAGTCGCCTCCGACAGAAAAGAACGACGTGTGGCGGCCAATCTTACTCTCGTCGACGCGCAAGACTTGCGCCCACACTGTCGCCATCAGCTTCTCCGACGCCGATTCCAGTGCCTCCACGGTCACTTCCAGCTCCAACGCCTCCAACGCTTTCTTGTCCACCTTCCCATTGGAATTCTGCGGCATGACGTCCAAGCCAGTCCACACCGCCGGCACCATGTACACAGGCAGTTGGGTCGACACAAATGCTTGCAACTCGTCCAGCGCGACGGAGCTCGGTGAGTAGTACCCGACGAGGGTCGAGTTCTTCACAATTGCCGCAGCAGTCGCGACGGACGGGAACAACATCATGGCTTTCGCGACCTCTTCCAGTTCAATTCGGTACCCCTTGAGCTTGACCTGGCTGTCCTTGCGACCCAGGATCTCGAATTTGCCGTTCGGCAGAAGGCGCGCAAAGTCTCCCGTGCGGAACATGCGTCCACCGCTGAACGGATCGGCCAAGAAACGTTCCTCGGTTTGCTCGGGCAAGTTGATGTAGTACGGCGACACACAGACACCACCCAAGTACAGTTCTCCAATTACGCCCACCGGGACCACGCATTGGTTTTCGTCCAGAATGTACGAAGTCACATTCGATATCGGGCTCCCAATTGTGACGTCGTCTTGGGGAACCATTTGCTCAACATGGCTGAGGATGCAACATTCGGTGGGGCCGTACGCGTTGACCAGCCGAACATGCTGACACCACAAGTTCTTCAATGCTGTTGGCATGCCTTCACCCCCAATGTGCACCACCTTGAGGCGGGGATAATTTCTTGGATCTCCCAACTTGGACAAACCTGTCGGGGTTATGGACAGAACGTTCACGTCTGAGAGTGTGTCGAAAGCGTCGTTGTTGCGGAAGACCA